TCCTGTACCGGTCTCTGCAGGGCGGCGAGAGCCAGAACTGCGATCGTCATGGCGCGCAAGAATTTGGCTAAAACCATTCTGCAACTGGGCTTCAATATTTGAGCTTCGAGCCTCAAGCATATCTAAGCGACTTTCAACTGCCACAACTCGAGCAAGCAACGCAGGAGAAGGGTTCACTGTTGATGGCTCAGGAGGCTGCTGTTTGGGTTTTGATCTGGGGGCTTGTGAGGTGGTCCGCACTGTTGCAGGATCACGAGGTTTTGGAGTAAACTGCTCAGCAGGGGCAGGTTGGATCAAGATACGTCCACTTTTGCACAGATAAACGTGTGTTGGAGGAGCAACATCAGCACGCACCAACCAGTGACACTGTCCGGATGTGGTCCATTGTTTAACCGGAATGATAGCCCAACCAGTAGTGTCACCCGCTTTCCATTCAGCAAAACGCTTGATGAATTCGGATCGAGAACAGCCAACAGGTAAACCTGAGATGATGAAACGAAGCACACCGCGGATCTTGATCGTCGCTTGAAGTTCTCCACGCTTCCATCTGCGGTGAAGCCTGCAGGGTCCCAAAACCTGGGTCTTGTCAGAGTAGCGGAGACAGAAATCCCCAACTCCGTTGCGTGCTGCTTCTAGCCGATACCTGCACGGTTTGCTGCACAGGTTGCGGCGCTAGAGCTCATGTTTGGATTTGAGGAAAAGAAACTATCATCTGGTGTTTGTTTACCATGAATTCAAAATTTTGGTGTAGGAGTGATTGAGCGATTATGGGAATGACTACTTCGGGTACTACTAACAGGGTTGCACTTAGATTTGGGGAGATTATTGATCCTGTCCTTCCATCGCCACTGGCGTTTGCAACGCGCGCAATGGATTAATCCTTCGGTGGGTGAGTTATAAACTTTTCCTATTTGGCGATTCCAAGTCAACACATGGCCACCTTTGTTGTACTTGACTTCAAGTTCTTCTTGTAGCATATCAAGTCTATGTGAACTCAAATTAAAACCAGGAGTGTCCAACCATTGAGCTTCATCTTTATTGGCATGTGGACAAGGATTACGGGTTTATCTTGAGTCTGATATGCTTCAACCGAGCACATTGCCTTCCGCATTTTCGACACCACATACCACCACTAGGTAGCATTGCGAGTGCATGCCCGTTGGCTGTTCTTGTGGAATTTTCTGGCTGACTAGAGCTACTGGGTTGTGCTGGTGTCGGTGCAGGCGTGTCATTGGCATCTTCAGCATAAAAAGATCGAATGTGCTGTTGCCAAATAGTGACTAGAGTCTCTTGCAAACAATCAATTTGATCTTGAGTTTTTTGGGAATTAATGCGGCATATTGGGTAATAACTGGTAGCCTACGTCCTTGCTGAGGCAACTTATTCAACATCTGCGCACGGATAGCCTGATATTTAGTTCACCTCCAAGAGATATGCTCAACAGTGTCTTCCTCACCAAGACCACAGGAGCATGTGATAGTTTCTGGACGTCGTTTGTGTTTACGAATGCGAGATTCTGTAAGAAGGCCACCAGCAAAAAGGCGTCGCAAAACTGACAGTTTCATTCTGGCCTGTTCCACACTTTCTGGGTCAAGAGTTTCATCAGAAGCACATATTTCTAAAAGTTTATAATAGTGCATGGTCCTGTCAGAGTCCACCAGATCAGCTTGTGCATACTGGTGAAGTCTGTCTTTGGCTACCTGCTTATACAGATGGATCCTCCAAGCGTGCCGCAAATCATGTTTCCATTTATCGAGTTGTGTCTGTGTATGTATGGCACCATCAAGCAATTCTTGGATTATGGGTCCAAGCGGAGTTTCGAGCAATTCATACATGCGTGTACAAGGCCCAACGGCTTCATATATGCACTAGCTGTAATTGCTGGAAAGAGGCGCGACAAGATTTCTGGCCGCTTCTGCACCGCTCTTTGGAAAGCAAGTGCGCCGACATACATCATAGCAAATTGTGGGTCAAGGTGAACCGGCAACAGCAACGCAAAGGTGAGTGACGGGCTCATGCTGTAGTATGCGGTTTGCCACATACACCTCATTATTGAAGACCTCACTTTCCGGAGTTCATCAGCGTCGGTAAACATTTGATGCGCACCTTGTCCGAAGGTTGCTTGTGCTTGTGTAGTAAGGAGTGTGTGTGCTCTTCCAGACCAACTCACTGGTAATTTAGCAACATTGTTAATGGTAGTGTGCCACTTCTGCAGACGATCTTTTTCGAGTTTAGCGAAGATACCATCGAAATTTTGGGTTACCACTGAAACACCAACTACATGGATATCATTGGAATGATTGTAACCTTGACGGATCTGGTCCTTGATGGATTCATCCCCAAAAGTGAAAGTCTTTTTAACATTGAGATCACCTAAACCACACTGTTGGTACTCATCAACTATATCATGGAATTGACGAAGCTGCACTAACAAACCTGCAGGTGTGGATGCTTGTGCAACTGCTGTACAATCATCAGCATAGGCAAAACTGGCACACGGATGCTGCACGTGCTGTGCTCGTTCAAGGATGCAAGAAATTAAGGAATTCAGACCGAGTATTGACAAAGAGCAACCTTGAATGATGCCATTGGCGGAAGTCCACCATGCAGAGTATGAACCTTGGTACCTGAAAACACGATGCAGCTGTTTATAAACACCATTCAAAGCTTGTAATAGGTTGTCGGGAGCCCCGCGATGTCTTAAGGATGCGATCATGAGGTCGATTGGAATGACGTCAAAAGCTTTAGCAAAGTCGAAAGCAATTCCACCACTAAACATGTTAGAGGAAGCTGCTTCTTCTAGAAAGAATGAAACATCAAAACCTAATTGTTCAGCTGATCAATTTGGGAGGCCACCGTATGCATTATTAGCAATCCACAAAGCCTGCCAGGGTTGACAGTCAATGAACCGAGTGCGTGACCAAAGACGAAAAATTTGCGAAAGCACCGAAATTGGCCTCATATCTTGTGGACCAGGCACAAGCGGTCCACCTGGCTTAGGAAGCATGGCTGCGTATCCTGAAGCGAGTGCACTGGGCCAAATTCCAGTTGTTTCTATGTGGTTGAGTAAGGCTGAAAGGCTTATATAAGCTTCTGGGTACCAATTGCTGAGCGCCTTGAGTCTTGAGTTCATTGGCATTCCAACTGTCGAGTCCACTGGGGGATTGTTTCATATCACGCAAACTTGCCCGCAATCGTTCGGCTGTGAGAGGTTGAAGCTGACAAGGTGCAGTTCTCATGGTTGGTCCGAAAATGTCAAGGAAGGGCTGTGTTGGCGGCGAACCAGAGGCGAATTTGTTAAAAATACCATTCCAAGCATGAAGGATGGCCGCAAAGATTTCATCTTTGTTGGCTGTAGGCTGACCTTCAGTGTTCAAGAGAACGCCTGCGGAAACATCCTGACCTTTCTTCAACCACTTACGCAAGTCACGTTTGGATGTTTGCATACGTTGCTTCCAAGTTTTGATTCGGGCTTTCTTTTCTTCATTTTGAATAGCAAAAAGGATTTTTGGCACAAAACTGCTCACAGTTTGGACATGTTGCAAGGAAAGCTGGTTTTCGCAAGTTGTCGAACGGTTTCTGCATGTTGGACTTGAGTTTTGGTGTGAGCAAGTTGTGTTTGGACATTTTTCCACGTAAGACAAGCACGATGCCCAAAATATGCTTTTTTTTGCAGTTCTGTAAGTTGTCGCAGAATTTTTGACCACCGAACAATTTCGAGAGTAGTGGCACTTTCAGCGAACTGCTTGGGATAAACTCGTTGTCGTCGAAAACGCACTTTTCCTTTTCCAGGTTTGAATGGCGTCTGGGAAACTGAGTTGTCAGCGAGAGGAATCTGCGCAAGACATTCTTCTGCAATTTTTGACCACATGCCCCAAGCTTCCTCAATCTGATTTTGGGCTAGAGCGAAATGAACTTTTTGAAAACTTCGGACTGGGTGAATTCTGGAAACAGGCGGTTGCGCAAAATCAACATGAGAAGAACTATTTTTGAGACGATACTCATGCTGACAAGCAAGCGGTGTAACAAGATTGATTGAAACGAACTGATGATCTTTCTTCAATAGTCCTGGTTTGACGGAGTAAGCGGTTAACAAACTGGCAGCAGTTGGGTTAAGGAAAAAGAAATCGATGCGGGAACCATTTTTACCTTTAAGGCATGTGGGGGTTGAATCGCTCCCCGCTGCATCATGCCATTGACCAAAAGCCAGAAAGTCTTTTAATGGCTCACATTCACTAATTTCAACATTATAATCTCCACTGAGAATTACTGGCAAGTTTCCTTTTGTGGCAGCAAACTCAAAAACGGCACTAATGGCTTTGTTGTTCTTTTGGAGGATCTGGTGATCCCAACGAGCACCAGCGTAACCGTAAAATCCGACCACAATAAAACTTGTTTTGCCATTGCCAGTAAATAATTGAGCTGAAGCAAGTCGACCTTCCTGGCTGAGGGTGTTGAGCAGGCCACTACTGAACGTTAAGGTTTGATATCCCAAAAACTAGTTTTGCGAGCTATGATTGCGACACCGGCATGTGTTTGGCAACCAGCCCAGGCGAAGTGTACATGCTTGAGGGACTCTTCATAACCTCGTTGGATTTCGAGAGTGGCATGCGTCTCAGTAAGAATGAGGAGATCACCCATATCTTTAACAATGGACTGCAGTTTTCCTGGTGTATTGACCCCATTGATGTTGAATGTTTCACATCGCATTGTGGCAGTGTTACCAATCAGAATATGCATATGCTTATTCATTGAAAGTCTGGAGGGATACCACTTATATGGAGGGAAACGATTGCTTAATTGTCGAGGCTGAAATGAGTGAACTGTACACGTGAACGGATCCTGATGATTGCGAAAAGGATGGTCATGCCAACTTGCATAAAACACTGTGGGAAAATAAAGATGGACAAGGACCAATCTGCAAAAATTGCACGAACGAAATGTGAGGCTGGAAATACGAGATGGAGGTTGGTGGCTCGGTGCAGGTGCACAGGCAAAACTCAAGACTGGTTTTCAGTACGGGCCTGCTTTGGCGGTGGTGTCATGTTTGTCTTGGGCTGATTTGCCTCGGGACGCTTGTTGAACAGTGCTTTCTGTGCGTCCGATCGCTGAGAGCCACTTGCATGAGACACTTGACTTGCAGAGGCTGTCATGCGCTTGGCAGCTGAGTTCAAAGCTTTGATATGGACAGGGTTCATGTTACCACGATGATCCTTCCAATGCATCTTTGTCACGGTTCCAAGTTTGCTGCTCAGGAACGTAATGGACTCCTCACCGGCGTACTCGACTTCCTCGACCGTCCATCCGTAAGGGTGCAACATGTCATGTACGCCCTTGACCCCGACCGAGGATGGAACACCTGTTAAACGAAAACGTCCAAGTTTATGTTTGGCTCCTAGCTTGTACTTTGTGGCGAAGGCATCCATAGCTTCCAAAGTGAGGAACCTGACACCATACCTTGGTCCTGCAGCCGTGCCAAAGGATTTCTCTGTTGTGTTGAGCTGGAGCGCATCCTCATGCGACGTGTCGTCCGACAACCAAAGCACTTCATATCGATCGGCAAGCGGGTCATTGATGTGGACCTTGTAGTATATGTGTTCGTATCCACTGCCTTGCATCAATTGATCCAGAACAGCGTCCTGTACCATCACCGTAGCAGTATAAGATCTCGACGGACATTGATATCCAAGAATAAACCGTCTTGGATGTGTTTGCTCAGAGCCGTCGCAACAGTTTTTCCAGTGAGGTCTGACGGTTCTAGTCCAGTTGCTGTGTCGAATTTAATGGTCACCTTGGTCATAGTACAAGGAGCTTGAACCAATGGTCCAGAAACGGCACGACTAACCTTGGGCCCAAACCCAAGTTGGGTGAGAAATTTGGCCACTTCGACAACTTCTCGACTGCCATCTTCTGTTTGCACTGCTAAGCTACAGCGAACAGGCACACTCATATATGGCATTCCCAACTCTTGCGCTGTTTGACTGGTAACAATCGCACAAGGAGCTTGTGTGTATCCAGAGACACGACAGGAATGACCTGATCTTTTCGAACATACGCAACTCCGCCAGAAGGTCCAGGCTCATTGTACAAGCAGGTTCGAGTGTTCCATTCTTCATCCACCAGAGTTGGCACAGTATGCGCCCAAGCTGCTGTAGGCAAAGCTTCTTTCATCTTAGCACGGAAATCTTGGTCCTTCTGCACCTCGTCATGCAATTTCACAATTGCATACATATCTGTAAGCTGTTGAGGAGAATCCACGTTCTGAAAAGGCTGTGCAGGTGGAGAAGTTTGCAGCAGCATAGCTCTTGGCCTTACCCTTAAAGCCACCTTTTCCACGCCCACGACCTTTGACAGGACTATGGGCACCACCATTGCCAGTCAAAATGTGCATGAGCTTGTTGTGCAAGCTTGGATGCAAAGTCGGTCAGAGCTGGACTGAAATCTGAGAAATTTGTGAATGTAAAATCCAAACATGAGGCACACAGCGATTGATCTGGCATCACAAAATACGCCATCAAAAGGCACAAAATGCACAGCACACAACTGATGTCAAAACTCTTGCTAACTGCAAAGTCAGTCTGGTGCTTCACACGGGGCGTACACTGACTCATCTCCCCATGCTGCTTCACCTCCGGAATGTACGTCGCAGCATAGTTCGTAGATGCCGGAGAGCCTGCAGGGTCCCAAAAGTAGTGTTGGCTTGTCAGAGCACTTCCGCATACCGCGAAAGCCCTCGGTGTGTGCCATCCTTCAGCCAACACCTGTGCGCGGCAGATCACTAGATGATGCTGCAGCAACAGGTGCAGGAGTGGTAGCGCGAGATGGACACGATTGCTTACCAACAAGACGTCTTGGTGGTACTGGATTGGGAATCACTATTTCGGGTGGGACTAATTGGGATATAGGTGAGAAAACAAAAAGATCACCACGTTGCTTGTCATTCTGAACCCATTTTGGAGGAGGGGGTGGTCTCTCACGTTGCTCACACTGTGGACGGGTCAAGCTGTTGCAACGATTCTTCCAAGCCCATTCTCGTCCACAGGTTTCACACCATAAACGACCAAAGTCTTGTGTTTTGTTACAATCTTTACCACATTTTTGATTCCAAAAGAGTTTATGACCTGCCTTGTTTTGGGTTTTGTGTAAGTCAATCCATGCTTTTTCTAGGCGATGCTTATTGGACATTGCACGGGAGTATCCAACCATTGATCCACAGGCAGCTCCTCATTGACACAAGGTTTTGACAAAATTTTGAGACGCTGATGTTTCTGCAGCTTTGTTGACTTGCCGCATTTTCGGCAAAACACACCTCCAGTGTCAATGATTTGGAGTACGTGGCCGTTGCGGGCGACCGGTTGTGAAGCATTAAGTGGAGGGATGGCCTGTGTGCTGGAGCTGGCAGCACTGCTTTGCGGTGGGTTTTGCGTGGTAGGAATAGTTGTAGGTATGCTAGGGACCACAAGAAAATTGTCTGGATTGTTGTACCAATCATCAATATGCGACTGCCAAATTTGGACCAAGACCTGCTGTACTTCTATTGCTAATACATCAGGAATTGCGAAGTCAGTCGGGACTATGGCACAAGAGCGAAAACATTCAGGCAACTGCTGAACTGAGCATGGCAATTTTGCACACATATCTGCACGAAGATGTTGAAAACGAGAACAATACCATGATATATGTTGAAGAGAGGGTTCAGCTTGCTTACAAAGGCAAAGAACTTTCCCATCCTTATTTTTGTGGCGATGGGTACGCTCTGGATTTTGGAGGCCGCCAGAGAAGAGAAGGCGTAACACCTTCAACTGAACACGAGGATCTGCTTTGGGCTCAGGAGGAATGATTTCTTCAGAATCACATTGTTTTTGGATGATATCTGCTTCTGCTTGTAGTTGATGTAACCATAAGCACGTGACCCGCCTGTTAATGCCACGTTCAACTCCAGCGTAGTGCTGAGAGCGATCTCTGGCTAGACTTTCCCTAAGAAATTTGCGATACTCTTCCCTAAGGTCATGCTGCCACTTATGTTCAACCAGTTCATTATGCAAGAAAGCTTTCATAGTGGGACTAAACCATGGGCTATCCATCAACTGCTTACAGCGAGCAAGGGGGCCATCTGCATGATCGGTATCATTACTGAGTTGGGATAAAGGTCTTTGTTTTGATTCAGCAGAAACAAAACTGCGCTTGAAAAGGTTGAAGGCACTAAGCTGCAAAGCGAAAGCCGGGTCAACACTGGGCGGGGCTAAAAGTGCGAAGATAACATTAGGTGCGGAATTATAATTGTATGCATTGAGCAATGCTCGTACCACAGTAGCTCTCATTGAACGCATGACATCTTTAGAAACTTGGAGCGTTTTCATGCCCTGACCGAAACTGAGTTTGGACATCACACTTTGCAAGATTCGAACTTTGATTTGCCAACTTTGTGGCAAGTTCTGTATGCGTTGCACTACCTTGGTCCACCCAAGCATACGTTGTTGTTCCAATGGCGTCCACATGGGTTGATGAGCGATTTTGATGCTACACCCAACCAAGCGAAACGAAGTTTGATGGTCTTGAATTTGTGGAACGGTATGCTTGAAAGTATTGGTTCCGAAAGTGAAAGTCTTCCTGGTGTTAATTTGCATTCCTGCAACAGAAGTGAACTGTTGAGTACTTTGAAAAACACTACGAAGTCCCTCTTTGACAAATGCAGTGGATTGGCCAGAAACTACGGACGACATGTCATCTGCATAAGCTCTGGATACCGCAGCAGGTATTTTCGCATCATTATATTCCAACCAAGAGGTTACCAAGGAAGTTAAAATGAGCATCGAGAGCGGACACCCCTGCACAATTCCACAAGTAGGCTTAAAAGGTGGAGAATGGTGACCATCTAGACGGAAATATTTTTGATGGTGTGAATAGAAGTTCCAGAAGGTTTGTACTATATCAGGGTCACAACCTCTAGTTAAGAATAGGTCCAGGGCTAAACCAAAGGGAATCGTATCGAAACATTTTCGAAGATCGAAACTGAGACCGGCTACTACACCCGCTTGTGCATACGTTTCTGAGAGTTGTATACACGTCTGCAGGGCCAACTGGTCTGCAGAGGAGGAGCCTTTTCCTCCAAAAGAGTGGCGATGCTGCCAAGTAGCAAACCAACTCTGGGTGAGCTGGAGATGCCGCGCTGACGCCCATAATCGATATATACATGAAAGAACCGTGATTGGCCTAAACTCATCAGGAAGAGGTGTCTCTTTATCGGGTTCCTTGGGTATGAAGGCTACGACACCTTTTGTTAAATGGGTTGGCCACTTATGACAACGTTCAATCATTTGGAGTAACCGGGCTAAATGATGAATGAGAGATGGGCACCAAGAAGCTGCTACTTGCAATTCTGATGTAAGGATTTGATCCAGTCCGGGGGAACTGGCCTTCATTTGTTTAAGTGCTTTGACTAAAACATCTTCGATCAGAATGCCACAATTTGCACGCGAAGCTTTAAGAGAAGGACCATAGATTTCCATGAAACGTCTGAAGGTTGGTTCACCGTTCTTATCTGTTGAATAAATCTTTTTCCAAACTTCTTCAATGCTACTGAGGCGTTCTGCGATGTTTGCGGTGGCTTTACCCTGTATTGTGGAGACCTGTACAGGTGCACTGGCTGCTTTTCGTCTTAAGTGTCGATAACTTGCGGACAAATCCTTTCGCAGTGAACGTTTCCATTCAGTGATGCGCTGCTGACGATCTTCTCGATCATTCGCTTCCAAAGCGAGCTTCAGCGTGGCAGCAACTTGGTCAAAGTTGGAAGAATTGAGTGATTGTTCGAAACGTTCGACAAGATGAGGTGGCAGCCAAGGCATGACATGCCACAGGTTGTTGATTGTTCGGTCCCGACGTGTACCATGAGCAGCAACCAAGATTTCCTGTATCTGACAGTGAGCTTTCCACAGCTTTCTACCTTTGAGCGTGCTGGCTTGTTGATGGACAACCTTCGGATGCTTTCGTTGTTCATGAAAAATGATCTGACCGCGTTTTGCAGCGGCAGCGGTTGGTGCTGCAAAACCCTGATTTTTGGCAACTGTGTGAAGAATATGTTCAAAACTCTGTGTCCAAAGCTTAAATGCAAGGTCTGTATCCTGTTTGGACAGCGCGTCGTCGAAGGTTTTACCTAGATCACAAGGGATGTTTGCATCTGCTGGCGCTGCTGGTCTAAATGGAGGAAATGGCGCGACAGCTTTCAAACTAGTGCGAACTTGCATAGGAGAAGGACAAACAATCTTTGCGGCAACCAAGGAATGATCTTTAAATTCGGGCAGTTTTGTGATATGAAACTCATAGCTCTGGTCAATTAAAGAGGGAGAAACAAAGATATGATCAATTAGTGAACCGGAACTTTTATGGCACGTGGCTTTTTGCGATTCTTTTTCAGTGCCTCTGGGTCTAAGGTCATACCAAAATTTATGTTGCAACAGCTGGCGAAGATTTTGAGAATCCTGGATTTCAAGGTTGAAATCCCCCATAATTATATAAGGAATTTGACCTCTGGAAATTTGATCATACTGGACTGCTTGGATCAGCTCGTGAGTGTAAGTCTTCTTTGCTCTATCCCAGCGGGCGCCTGAGACTCCGTAACTGCCATAGACCACCAGTGAAGTACCTCCACGGGCCAGCCACACTTGTGTAGCAGTTAGTCTACTATCTTGGAAGAATTTATAACAGGGATGATCTGGTGACCAAGTTATTGTTTGTGCGGCCCAGAACTTGGAGCGTTTAATCAGAGTTCCAATACCACTGAAATGTTTATCTGAGGGATTGATACCCCAAAAACAATGGTAGTCTTTAAATTGCTGATTTTCAGAGATCTCGAGGTGATTTTGGAGATGAGTCTCTGTCACAACAAGGATGTCTTTGGCGATTTCTTTGAGTCGCTTTCTTTTAACAGCTTCCTGCAATCCACCAATGTTTAGGGTTCCTATCGAAATGAATGCATCACAAGCCTGCGAATGCTGTTGATACCAAGATTTCTTTGGGCCATGATTACCATTCAAAATATGTGTTATCTTATTGCGAAATGCTCGAGAAATGAACCAATGCTGAGGGCAGGGGTCAATGGCCCCAGGCATGCCAACAAGATCCCAAGAGCTAGGACACTGTGAAGGATTTTGGAAAGAGGAAAGAGAACTACTAGTTATTGGACCAATGCGCCAAAGGATGCGAACGTACACGAATGCAAGTGACACCTGAAGCACCGAAGAAACACGCACAAAATGCTTTTGTCTTGAGGCACTCCACAGGTGAAGCTCTTTGAGCGTTAAATCCCATCGTCATTTCCTTTCTGCTGTTTTCTTTCCGGCGTCAAACCAGTTTTGGTTTGCTGAGTCCTTTTT